GCCACTGCGAGCCCTGCCGGGGTCCGGGGGGGCACAGGGGGGTCCGGGGGGGCCCTGGGGGAGGGGACACAGCCCCGCATCGCCCAGTGCCACTGCGAGCCCTGCCGGGGTCCGGGGGGGCACAGGGGGGTCCGGGGGGGCCCTGGGGGAGGGGACACAGCCCCGCATCGCCCAGTGCCACTGCGAGCCCTGCCGGGGTCTGGGGGGGAACGGGGGGGCACAGGGAGGGTTCGGAGGGGCCCTGGGGGAGGGGGCACAGCCCCGCATGGCCCAGTGCCACTGTGAGACCCCGGGGGGGAGGTCCTGGAGATTGGTCCTACGGGAGGGGATCATGAAGGGTCCTGGGGTGGGTCCCGAGGGATCCCGGAGGGTCACTGGGGGCACTCAGCTCCCCGCGTCGCCCCCAGTGTCACTGCGAGCCCTGCAGGGGTAGGGCGGTCCCGGGGGGTCGAGGGGGTGCCGGGGTGCACTGGGGGATCCTGGGGAGGTCCTGAGTGTCCGGGCAGAGGGGTGGGACACAGCCCCGCATCACACACTGCCACTGCCAGCCCTTCGGGAGTGGGGGGTCTTGGAGGGGTCCTTGGGTAGCTGGGGGGGCTGCAGGGGCTGGGGAGGGGAACCCCAAGGCTCCCTGGCCCCCCCTGAACCCCCCTGTCCCGCAGGAGGGGACTTCACCCGGCGCTGAGGAGCCCCCCGAGCTGGGACCCTCCCGAGGAGCCCCCCCGGACACCCCATCCCCCTCTCGGACACCCCGCCCGTGTCAGCCCCGGGGAGTTTGTTATGGATGCCAATAAACGATCAATAGTGCACAGGGATCGATAACCGATATTTGATCAGTAACACACGACCCCCCTCGGGGGCACGGGGGGAAATGTGGGGGACACTGAGGAGGCCACTGGGAGGCACTGGGGGCTGCGAGAGGAGCACTGGGAGGAACTGGGGGGGCACCGGGAACTCACTGGGGGAGCACTGGAGGAGCACCCGGGGGTCACTGGGAGCACTGGGAGGGTCTCCGAGGGGCACTGGGGGAGCACTGAGGGCACTGGGAGCACAGGGGACACCCCGAGGGGACCCCCCAGAGCCCCCGGTACCGGGGGCGGCCCCGCTCCCGCCCCTCCCCGCACGTGGCGCCGGCGCTGGCTGATGACGCACGGAGCGGCCGGTGCGGGCAGGCGCGCTGCTGTGACGTCATCGCCGCGCGCCTCGGTGGCGGCCCGTGCGCGGGGCTGGGCGGGAGAGGTCAGAGGGGAACGGGAGTGGGATCGGGACTGAGGGGGGAACCGGGACTCGGGGGGATCGGGGGAACGGCACTGTGGAGGGGAACGGCACTGTGGAGGGGAACGGCATCGGGGGGGCCTCGGCCCGCGGGGCTGAGCAGGGCCCGGGGGGGCACCGGCCCCGGGGGGAGAGACGGAGCGGGAACCAGGCCCGGCGGTGCGGGGTGGGCTCGGCCCGAGGGGGCCCGAAGGGAGAGTCCCGAGGGTGCTCGGGACCCGGGGACGGAGGAGGGGAACCGGGACCGGGGGGGCTCGGCACGGGCGGGTGGAGGGGACGGGTCGGGGGGTGTCCGGGACCGGGGGGGTGAGGGTCTGAGGGAAAATATCCCCGGGAGAGTGTGATCCGGGGAGGCTCCGGTGGAGAATATCCCGGGCAGCGGCTGGGCAGGGGGGCTCAGGGAGGGTTACTGGGGGGATACTGGGAGCACTGGGAATGTGGGGCCGCATCCCTGGGGAGGGGCTGGGAGTGTTCCAGACCCCCCAGAGCGGCTCCGAGGAGCGCTGGGAGAGCCTGGGGGCCGGTTCCCCCCCCGGGCAGTTCCAAGCGCTCCCTTTCCCTGCAGCCCCCCGGGATGTGGCTCTGACGGCCGCGGTGCCCCCATGGCCGCACACCTCGTTCGCCGGTGCTGCCGGCGCCTGCTGCTCCCGGGCCCCCCCGGGCTCCCCCGGCCGCCCCCCGGGGCCCCCCCCGGCCCGGGCAGGGCCCCCCCCACGGCCGCCCCCCGCCCCCTGCGCACCGGCCCCCCCCGGTGGGCCGAGACCCCCCAGGCGCAGCCGCGGGAGGAGGGGCCGGAGCAGCAGCTCCGGGAGCTGATCCAGGGAGCCACCGACCCCCAGGAGCTGCTGCAGCTGTGCGGGGGGCACAGACTGAGCAGCAACCTGGCGGGCATGGCCATCGCCCGCCTCGCCCGCCTCGCCCACGGGCACCCTGAGGCACCGGCCATCCACGGGGACCCCCGGCTGCTGCGGCTGCTGGACACCCTGGACGGGCAGGTGGGACGGGGCACGGGGGGCTCCGGGCTGGGCCTGCCCCGCCGGGACTCACCTGGGAGGGGCTGGGGCACCGCTCTGCAGGGACCTGGGTACTGCAGTGCCTGGCTGGCTGCTCAGAGCACACCCGGGAGGGGCTCAGCGGGACAGCCGGGCCCCAAACCCCCTCCCCTGCTGCCCCTGTCCCTCCCCTGCTGCCCCTGTCCCTCCCCTGCTGCCCCTGTCCCTCCCCTGCTGCCCCTGTCCCTCCCTTGCTGCCCCTGTCCCTCCCC